CAAAGGAAGCCTCAGCTCCCTAATTCCTACTTCCTCCGTTTCCGCACACAGTTTTAACTCCTAAAGAACAATTCTAAATGAAGGGCTGTAGGGAATGCAGACTACTTATAGTCACAGCCTCCCCTTGGGCCTGGGGAAGTGACAGTTCTGAACTAATGGCAGGGGCAGAGAGTTGGCCCGGACTTCAGTGGGTTAATGGACGCGCAGAGCAAGTGACAACAGGAATTCTATTATTACCAAGCACCTGTAACTCACACTGGGCGTGGGACAAAGGGATTTCTGAGTTGCTTTTATTCCCCCAGGTGTTCATGGCCCCATGTTAATGACTTGCATTTGTGGTTGGCTGGAGCAGGGACAAAAGAGTGGAGCAAGGCATAGACAAAGGGCTAAGCCACTTGGCTTGAGAACTGAGGTTAAACCCATCTCCTGGACCTTAGGTTTCCTACCGCACAGGTCAGGGTAGAGCTTACCGTAGAGGAGCCAAAACCTCAGGTAAAGTTGTGCAGATGTGCCAGCCCGGTTTCTAGAAAATTGAACTTTAGAAATTGAAATGTCTATAGGTATAGCTTTAAATACAGAAACAACCATCCCTGCCTCGGGTGGGATTTGGAAACCCCTCCCTGCCCCAGGAGTGACTCAGTGGCAAGCGTAATCCTTCATGCAGCACCTCCCTAAATGCAGGCTTCCCAAAATATGCTTCATCTAGTTGGATTTGTGAAGCGTGAGTTAGTGTCTGTCAAGTAAGCACTGATACTCGTTTTTAAATAGCACAGACTGAGAGTAGACTGGTAGGTGAGAGGTTATCTTCTGCCTGCTTTCAAAACTTCACATACAGGTCTCTGCTTTGCAAAGGGCATTCGCTGAATGTAGAAAGGTTTCCTGCAGGTTGATGGAATTACTTGCAAAGGAGTAAAATTCCCATGGAATGATTTGTTTTCATAGCTGTTATTTTATTATATGTGACATGTTCCAACATTTCCTGGAGTCTTTTTCAATCCAGGCCCCGGAGCTGCCACCTGTTTTGCTCCAGGCACTGGGCTCATAATTCTAATAGAGACCAGTAGGTGAGTGGTCGTGTTTATTACTAGGGTCTGAGGCCCTGCAGTTCTCAGTTGTGGTTGAGCTGGGATGGGGTAGAACAAAGCACTGCTAAGAAAAAGCCTTTTGCATTTTCTACAGACACTTGATTGTGAAAACAGCAGTCGGATTACAGTGAAGCCTCACACTCAGCAACCCCAGCATGTGACAGCTGGTCTCCCTCTCCTGATAGCTGACATTCGCCCTGGCTCCCACCCTCTCAATCCCCACTCTAGTCTACTTATGCATCTGCATCCTCAAAGGCTGGGGAATCAGCTCCTCTTACAAGCTTCCCCAGATCCCACCCCAGCCCCCAGGCTGCTCAGGCGCCCTGCTCCATGTCCCCATGACATCGTCTGTACCTCTACGTGGTACACCATCTGTATTCCTCCGCTGCACTTACCACACTGTGTGACGTGCGCCTTGTGTCTGTGAGTTTGCTGAGAATGGCTGTGAAGTCTCATTCGTTTTAGGAGACTTGGTCCCTGCCCAGGGCCCTGGCATACTGTGTGTGCGTTCAGTAAACATTTGTTTTCGATGTGAACCTTAAAGGAAGCGTGAAAGATCCCTGAAAGCTGCAGTGGGTGCTATAAAGCCTATGTATCAGAACTCAGACCCCTGGGCTCCAAAGCAGAGCCAATTGATTCTTGTTTTGGATGTCATTCCAAAAAGCCTGATGGCCTGGTTAGGTCAGGCGGCAGAAAGGCCCTTAAGCGAGAAGCGTGGTTATCAGTGTTCCTTAATAATGGGTAGCAAAGATAAGAAGGGCCCTCTTTCCACATCTGCTTTCCAACTCCCATTGCCTGAATAACTGCTCTCTTAGCCTCACAACTGCATATTCCCAATGTCCAATCTCCCACCTTTCAGATGAAAATAAGAAAAATACGGGGAAGCACATGTGACTTCAGTTTGCTTCTAGTGATAACAATAATACACACTCATCATAGAAACCTTGAGAGATACTAAAAAGTATAAAGAAGACATAAATGTCTTCCCAGATCCCACAATGAAAAGCTGGCTTCTGTCACTCTGTAGGTATTTTTTTGTCCTTTCTGTGTATCTCTGCATTTTCGGCTACAGCTGAAATTATTCTACACATTCACATTTATGGCCTTTTTTTAAAGTGGAAATATCTTCATTGGAGCCACTGGCATCTGCAGCTTCGGCAGCAGCTACTGTTTATTGCACACTTGCCAAAGGGACCTGCGGACGTGCTTATTGCAATTTTATTTCTGACGATGGCTCCTCCCCCTACCCCAAGCTAAGGATGAGTGAATCTTCCTTTCTAAACACTGGAGATTTTTGCCATTTATCTCCTTCTCTGCAGAAGTCATCTTGAGGAAATTGCTGCCAAATCCTTATCCACCTCTGCAGTAGAAATTTTAAAATAGGGTAGACAGAAGTACAGGTAAACAGAGGGTTTCCTCACAGCAAAAACATTTTGCTCTTGGATAAAAGTGTTTTTGTTTTCTACCTGGTGACATCATCTGAGGTCTTTGGTAGGATGGGCCATTACTTTTTATTAAGTCCTTGTTGTATCTACAAGAGTTACTTGCCGCCTGAGGGCTGTGAGTTGTACTCTGTGTTCTGGGTGGTGCCAGACAGGAGGTTAGAAATGAGTCTTACTGGAAAGAAGCAAAGATGGCAGAAGCCATCTTTTTGCAGTTCTAAAGCTCAGGCTCCCCTTGCTGTGCAGCCCAGGGGAGCCTACCAGAGTCTGTGTGTTATAGGAGAATCTGCCTCCAGGGCTGTGGGCTGGGCCGAGATAGGGGAGAGGGAGCAAGACTGGAGGGCAGTATTTTCTCCCCCCAGATCTGGAGTTTAGCTCATGATCTGGCTTTTTGGTTGTTAGATATGGGAATATGTGTGTGTGTGTGTGTGTGTGTGTGTGTGTGTGTGTGTGTGTGAGTGAGCTAGAAATAGATGAAGTTTCCTGTGGAACACCCTTATCCTTTTGATGCCAGCTGCCTTTGAAGCTCATGCCAAGTGCACTAACTTACAGCAGCCTAAGGAATGGCCACTTACCTACTGACCCAGTTCCAGTAATAGGTGTTCAGAGCCATTGGAATTCGTGTGACTGCCAGGGAGATGCACGAAGAAGGGGAATAGCTTGGTTAACGAAAATGCATAAGACTGACCTCCTTGCCGAGAGATGATTCAGGGTAGCTTTTACCACCTTAGTCTTCCTCACCCACTTCCTGCTATGGCTGCTCCTCCAATGGACACAGCATCAGCGTAAAAACACTACTTTGCATTTGTGGCTTTTTGAGGTGTCTCTGGCACACACTTCCCTACCCCATGTGGTTGCTAACCTGCTAATCCATCTGAGTCCTTCCCATTTAGAAAATACTAGACAGCCATTGCTCATCAAAGCTCGTCCCACCCAGTTCTGCCTCTCCCCGTGTCAGTCACCCTCGGGTGGAGGCAGCAGCTTAGTCAGACGGCTTGCTGGGTTTATGCAGCTTTCCTGGTGGCGTATGTCGGCCAGCCTGAAGAGCTGTGGTGGTGGTGGCTTTTGTTTTCGTGAATCTTGCCATTCCCTCTTCACTCTTACATTCTTGCTTCTAGTTAGCAGAGAGAGATGTCTAATACATATGGGTTTTTTTTCCTTCTAATTAATGTGTTACTTAAAATAGGGACAAGGAGGTCCTAAGTGGAGCTGTCTTACGATAGGGATCTGCTTAATGACACGAGTGACACAGTGGGAGCTGAGCAGGCGCAGGCGTGGTGCTCTGCCCGGGTTCAGCTGTGACTGTGTGGAAACCCTCTGGGCAAGGTCGGTGGCACTTAAAACCCCAAGTACAGACGGGCTCTATGTATCCGCATCCTTTGGTAAAATCCCAATATCCTCACAAAACGACCTCCAGCCCCCACAAAGGATCTGCCTGGCCCTGTGTGGACACAGTCCTCCTGCAGCCTGGGCTCACGTTTCACCTGCTCGGAGACCTCTCTTGACCCCCAGGCTTGTGACCAGATATTACGCTTCTTCTACTTTTCCTTCACAGGCTCATCAGAATTTGTAGATTTGCTTGTTTATGTAATTTTTTTTTAAAGCAATGTGTTTCTCACACCAGACCCTGTATGGGGAGAGGCTGTGTCTGCTCTTTTTTCTCTCTGTCGGGTCCCCAGCACCTCATTCAGTACCGACCAGAAAGGGACTTCATAAATGTTAGTGGAGTGAGGAAACCCAAGGTTCTTGAAACAAAATGTTTTATGTTGTGTATCTTAAAGGTGTCACTTCGTAACGAAGACTTACACATTTCTTTCATCAAGCAGTCTTAATTTCCACAGCACTCTATTCACACCACTTGCATACTGCTTATTACACTGCATGGTAACGTTTTTAGAGTCCACGTCACCTGCTAGGTTAAGGGTCGCTCAAGGTGGAGTGGCGTCCTGCTTGGAGTGTGTTCCCACTCCAAGTTGTAATCCTCTCACAAGCTGAACAGAATTTCCAACGTGGAAGCTATTCTGAGGCTGCCATTCGACTTCCGTTTGGCTGACTTGTCTAAAGGGTTTTTCTCTTTCTGTGATCATTCTCTGCCCACTTGTGAGGATGAAGGCACCTGTTAGAAAGGCATTTTACCTTTCGATTTCCATTCCTCTCGCCAGTTCCCTGGCCTTCCAGATGCAGAGCTAGAACTAGAACCACAGCCTTCTGATGCCGTCTCTACTTTTAATTTCATGTAGGAATTCAAGGGTGTGCAGAATTACCTACAGGAGATCCAGGTGCTACTCTTCCAGGGGGATCTAATCCCACCAGCCCCATCGTGCGGCCCCCTGACCTGCTATCGGGATGTTGTGCTGAAAATCTCCGTTTGACAGTCTCTCCTCTCCAGACCACAGCCCTAGTAACATGGTGCTGATTGAACTCGAGGCTAATTGCTACACCACATTGGAGTCTTTCCTGTGTTTTTATACAGGATCGCCTGTTTTTTGTGATGGAGTTTGTGAACGGGGGTGACTTGATGTTCCACATTCAGAAGTCCCGTCGTTTTGATGAAGCGCGAGCTCGTTTCTACGCTGCAGAAATCATTTCAGCGCTCATGTTCCTCCATGAGAAAGGAATCATCTACAGGTGAGTTTCGGTTGCTGGTACCTTCTCTCCTAATTCCCCTGCCCCCTCTCCTGGCTTAATCCATCTTCCACTTTTCATGATAATCAATTGAAATCTTTTTGGAATTAAATACACAAAAGTTCTGCGTATCCATTAGGATAAATTAACAATGTAATGATAAACACCGCCTCTAAACTAAAACATACCCTCTTTGGTATTTATAAAATAGACCTGAGAGGCTTGGAAAAGACTATTCATGAATTGGTTCAACCAGGGTTTGCTAAGGGCCTGTTATAGGCACGCCCTGCAAGGCGCTAAACACATCACTGTTGTCTTTTTCCCATTTTAACATTTGAAGTAAATCGGTTGATCATGGATCCATTCGGTTTTGAGAATCCACACCTCACCTGAAGAATGTGGATAACTGTTGCCCTAAGTTGTTGTAATAAGACTCATGGTCAGAACGGAGTGTAGTTCCCCAGTCAGGAGCTAAGGGGTGAACTGCCAGTGAGCAGTGTCCTGCCTGATACTTGTCATTTGTAGCCCCCTCCCAAATATTATTTGATTCCATTTCATGACACACAATCTTTTGATCATAATATACCGTACTTTGAACAGGCTCAAAATCTGGTTGATGGTGTTAGATCTCAGAACTCAGTGGATATCAAATGAAACTTTAGTCAGAGAGAAGGTTGGGAGGGTAGGACATGTATGAGTGAATGTTAGGCAATTTTTATTCTTAAATTTTCCTTTTTTCCCTATTGTCAGTGTCCTCCTACTCTTTAAATGACATTAGAACCTAGTTGCCTTGTAGGCTTTTTTTCCTCTTGAGATGCAATTGTTGCTTTCCTTTGAGAAAAATTCTTTTATATGAGGAGTATGAATGCCAAAGAATTTAATGATTGAAATTTGCTATTTATTAGCCTTGTTCATGCTTATTCTTTTTGTGAACTCATGACAGTATTGACATCATTATTAAAGTATAAGAGAGCTTTAAAAACAGTGAATATTCTTAAATACCCTGGAGGTCAAAATAAGAAGAGAGCAAGTAGTGAGGCTGTAAAGAATGCAGTAGGACCAGTAGGCGATGCCAGAAGGAGTGGGAAAGCAAATACCGTAGAACAAGCACTCTGCGGAAGTGTCTTCTGATTAATTCTCAGTGCAGAGTCCCAATGCCTCAACTAGATGTAGCCCTTTTATCATAGACCCGAGACCTTGTGCAGCAGAGAAGGGGTGCAGAGCTGGTTTCCAGGCCTGGAGAACAGCAGCAGGAGTCACCTGCTTGAAGGTGATCTAGAATTTCCGCTCATTCTTAAGTCCTGGGGCTGCCACAGGTTGCTTTGGGCAGCCTGTGTTTGGGGCTTTCTTGCCCAGGCTCTGGTGGCTCTATCACAGAATTTTTCCTGTCTCTGCTTTCTACCCAGTGTACGATTTGTGGAGATTGCTGGTCCCATCTCTGATGGTGAGGGGAGTTAACAGTCCCTCCCCATGGTGGTATCACACTCCGGGTAGTGAGTTCTGCTTTTATTCTCCTCTCCATGGCTTTTGCATCCATCTCTGCTCTGCCTACCTCAAAGAGAGACTTTTCTACAATTTGACTTTTTTTATTAATAGAGTTGGGGTCTCACTCTTCCACCCAGGCTAGAGTGCAATGGCATCATCATAGCTCACTACAGCCTCAAACTCCTGGGCTCAAGCAATCCTCCTGCCTCAGCCTCCCAAGAAGCTGACTAGATAGAAATATGGGTGCACGCCCCTGTGCCCAACTAATTTTTAAATTTTTTTTTAGAGATGGGGATCTCTCTATGTTGCCCAGACTGGTCTTGTACTCCTGGCCTCAAGCAATCCTCCTGCCTCAGCCTCCCCAAGTAGCTGGCATTACTGGTGCAAGCCACTGCCCAGCATGTTTTATTTTTGAGATTTCTGACTTCCCTGCTTGACAAGGACTTCTGTTGCAATCTGAAATGGTAGTATTAACGACAATGATAGCTGAATTGAACACTTGTCACACAGCTAGCGCTTTACCTGTATTTCTCTCTTAATTTTCTTAACAATGTTCTTATATAACAATAATTATTTGCATTGTTTAGATGAATAACTAAGACTTCAAAAGTCTTAATAACCAGACTACTAACTGGTAGTGAACTCAGAATTCAAACCATGGTTCTAACCACTGTCTGCTCTGGAGAGACTTGAAGATGTAGAGTTCCACTAAAGGGTTGGCTTCTTGTTCCCCTTTCGGTGATAAAGGAAAACTTTAATTCTGGAGGGGGGAAGCAGTGTGGTCTAAACTCAAGTTTTCTTGAATGTTCAGATGCTGTAAGGTTTTGTTTGTTTGTGACAAGGTCTCACTCTGTCACCCAGGCTGGAGTGCAGTGGCACAATCGTATCTCACTGCCGCCTCAAATTCCTGGGCTAAAGCAATCCTCCCATCTCAGCCTCCCAAATAGCTGGGACTACACCTGGATAATTTTTTTTTTTTTTAATTTTTTGTTGAGATGGGGTCTCACCACATTGCCCAGGCTGTTCTCAAACTCCTGGCCTCAAACAATCTTCCTACCTAAGCCCCCCAGAGTGCTGGGATTACAGGTGTGGGCCACCATACCCAGCCGTAGCTTTCAGTACTGATGCAAGGCAGCAAGCTTGTTTTCTTGTGTCAGATATTACTACCTTGTGGTCTGCGTGTTTCATTTGTCTTAAAACATGGTGGATGGACACAGTAACGTAACGTAGTCTCTGGTGAAGCAATGTCAGCCCACATCTTGAGAAGTTTTATTTTAATGCATGGTATCTGTGGTTCAATTCTGAGCATTGATTTTAATTTACTCTTGGACTTGAGTCCCATGTTCAGGGTCTAACTGATATGGTTGACTTTGAAGGGAGCACATTTAATTAGGATAGATTCAGATGCTATTTTTATCCTGTGGATTTATTTCACAGGATAATTTAATTCCATTCAGTATACTGGCTGGGAGCAGAGTCTTAAGGATAAGCCTTTGAAAGCCAAGTCCTTGGAATTCACACACAGTAAAGGGCACATTTGGGTCACAGAGGGTGTGGCTTTGATACAGGAGCCTAGTGAGAAACTTGGATGCATCAGACAGCCTCATCTATCATACATGTCCCAGGACAGCCTTATCAGAGCTAAAATGATCTCCCCAGAAGATGCCACTGACCTATCTATAGAGTCATTATTTATTTTGGATTCTTTTTTTTGGCAGGGGGAGGGTTCTTTTTCCAGTAAGTTACAGAGGTGGTACCATCTGCCAGTCACTGTCAAAGAGGATTTTAGAAGGCAGTGCCTTAGCTGCCTCCCTCTGATAGGAATTCCTTCTCTCTCTCAGCTGACTGTGCCTGTGTGAGAGGACACAGGCCAGTTTTGTTTAGGAGCTTTTCAGCTTGTGTTGTGACCCTGATTCTCAGATACACTCACTTGTATTTCATGGAGGAGCAGAATCCAGTTCTCGGGAGATTCGGCAAGAAGGGCCTGCCCCTTTGCGTTTGGTTGGAAGGTCTGGAACCTGCCATGGCCCAGAAGCCAAGAAGAGTAGGCTGGGAAGTAGGCAGTCCTCGAGTCGGTTTTGCCAAGGGGAGAAAAGACTATTCATTCCTTTGTCTTGGGCTTGTTGGCCAACTGGGAACCCAGACAGTGCTCATGAATAATTTACACATGGCATTGACTTTTTTCCAGAGTCAAGCCCTACAGAAAACTCAGGGAAACAAAGGGGCATACATCCCATTGACCAGCATGACAGGCACCATTTTCCATCGTGTTTCATAAACTGCATTAAAGGGGAATTCAGCTGTCATTGACATTCCAACCCCAAACTCCAAAAGCCAGCCAGCACACATTTGATTTGCTGTTTTTGTCAGAGCATGGGCTATTATATCTGAAACATGTTGGATGAGGAAGAGTTATAGAAGGGCACAGCTTAAATTTCAGTTCCTCCTTACCATGTTACACTTGAACACACAGCACTTTTCAACACCCAGTTTCCAACGCATGAGGCTGACCACTTTATACCTTATGCAGTTCTTGGCATGCTGGGTGTGTGGCAATCGGCGTTTTCTCTTAAAGCTCCAAGCACTTTCTGGGATATTTCGTTATCCCGTTTTCCAGCTGTGGACCTGGCCCATAGAGGAAGGAAGCTCTTGCCCCACAGAGGCTGACTGCCAGGTCTGACGTACAGTCTTCTACGCCGATGCTTAAGTAGCATATTTCTTTCTTTCTTCTTTCTTTTTTAAATCCAACTACAGATTTACAAGAAAAGCACATTAACTTTTAAAGAGGATCACCTTTGATTTCTCCTCAAATTGAGAGAAAAATCTCTACTTAATTTTACTTTTTCTTTTTTTAAATCAGAATTTGGGAAGACTGGCAACTCCCTCCAGGATAAGCTCTGATAAGCTAGTCTCTGAACACAGTTGTTGGATCTGTGTCAATATACCAGTCTCTAACATCATCTAACTCTTGTTTCTCAAGGATATCAGGGGTGGTCGCTTCACTGACTCCAGATACCTGTGTTACCCGAACTTAGCTGGGCATGCCTTTGCTTGGTGAGTGGTCTCCTCTGTGAGCATTGCTTCCAAGAAAAGCTATGCTCAGCTGAGAATTCACAAGTCATCTGTTTCCAAATCAGTTTGTGCTTTGGGTCAGTGATGGATAGTACATGCCTGAGTCACTGCTCTGTACGGTTCTCCCCTTCTGGAAAACTGTGGCAACATCTGTCTGATTCCCTTCTCCTGGGACCTCTCTTACTCCTCAGTATTTCTTATCAGCAGACTTTCCGAGTCCCCAGATATCTTTCATTTGAGCCTGGAATTTTGGACTCTTACTATTACCTCACCTATACTGGAATTCAGTTCCATGTTTATATTTATTCTGCTCATTCTAATGAGAAAAATCTTCTTTTTAGATGAAGACGAAAGTCAAACTTAACAGCTCTGTTTTCCCTTTGTCATCTGATAGCATCATTCCTTCTGCTCCAAGAAGTAGGTCTACACTTCCTTGATCTGCTTAC